GGTGGTGCTGGGAGGCGGCGAGAGGCGGTGGGAAAGGTATCCATATTTTTTTCATTTTTTATGGGTTTTTACAATTTTTTATTATTTTTTTAAAAAAATTAAAAAAATAAAAAATTAATTTTTTTATTTTATAAATGTTTTATAAATTTTTTATAATTTTTTTACGTTTTTAAAATATTTTTTACATTTTTTATGATTTTATTATGAATTAAAGCATTTCATTATGAATTAATACTCTTAGGGGTATTTAGGGTAGAAAATCAATGTTTAGTCCTGTTTAGGGAATTTTAAAAGTAGTAGTCCTATTTGTGCTTTTTAGGAACTCATTAGTCCTATTTAGGACAATTTCCGTTTTCCATATTAATAATTAATTCATTTTTAATACAGAATAATTAAAATTTACATATTCAGAAACTAAATTAAAATCTCTATAAAATTTTAAAATCCAATTTAAAATTTAATTAAAAATTATTATCCCAATTAAGTGAATAAAATGAATTTGTTTGACTCATAAAGTCAATTTTACAACTCAATTTGAGATTGATGGAGTAATTATATATTACACATGTAGTGAAAATAATGAACTTAAAAATACAAAAATTAAGTATAAAATGTAATTAAAAATTTATTTTGATTGCTAACAAAAAAAAATATCATAATAAAAGAAATCCAACTTAATAAGAATTGTAACTATAAGGAAATGAAGAAAGTAACTTACAAATGTATATACAGGTAGTATAGTAAAGTAATAATACAAATAATTCCGTACTTAACTATACATATAGTAATACAATATAGTAATTAATCATAATAAGTATATACATATAGTAATACAATGAATTGGAAGTAATGTTAATTAATTTCACTAAAGATATTCTATACGTAGTATTTGAATAGCTAATTACCAAATAATTTCAACGAGCTAACCTGGTTGGCTGGTAAGCCATTTTCTTCTTCATGTAGACATCACGAGTTCGACTCCCAAGAGCAGCGGATTTTTTGATTTGGTTCAGACGGACTATTGGGCCTTTTTAGCCCAAATTAACGATTGGGCCCTCCACCCAAATTGGGCCCTGTGCGGCCGCACTGCCTGCACAGCGTCAGGGCCGGCCGGGGGATGGGACGTGCTGATGCTAGAGGGGCAGGGTGTCGAGTGACCCAGGGGAGGGGGCTTGGGTGTGGTGTTCGCTATGGTGCACGTTGGTGGTGGTCCCTGGAGGTGGTGTTGGTGATGGTGGTCGCTGGCGGTGACAAGAGGTGGTGGTCGCCGGCGATGGTGGTCGCCAGCACTGGTAGGAGGTGGTGGTTGACGTCAATCACTATGAGACTGGTGAACTATAAATGGTCAAACTCGATAACCCTGATTGATCAAATGGGATAATTATAACTTATCAAATTGAATAATTGTAAGTTGTGAAAATTGACCGATCATGTAACTGTAAAGAATGCGTTGAATAATTGTAATTGGCAAGTCAAGTAACTTTATCTGATCGGTTAGATAACTACAAGGGGGTTTCCCCTGGATATTACTAAATTAAGGCTGATTTTCAAAAATGCGACAACGTTTTCATTTGGAAAAAATGTGACTAAAACAAAGTGACATTCAAATAATCTTGTCACTGCTTCATTTTCATTTCACTGTCGGATGTCACTGTTGGCATCGCCCAGGTCACTGCTGCCGCCATCGCCCATGTCACTTCCACCACCATCGCTCATGTCATCGCCGCCGACCACAGTAACACTACCACTGGCGGCTGGCCACAATGACACCGCCGCATGTCACAGTGACACTGCCACAGTGAGAACATCACGGTTGTCCCCCATCCCAGTTCAAGCTGCTGCCACTGCCCCGCTCTTCCCCAGCCACCGCCCCTTCCCCCGCCCCTCCCCCTGCCCACCGTCTAATGTGCTATCGGCCCATCCACATTCGCCACCCATGCCCAGTCCAATCCTGCCACCCTTGTCCCATCTAATCCCGCACGCTCCTGCCCTGTCCTAACGGTGTCAGTGCTCACCACTGCCTTTGACATGCCCTTAACTCTATGCACCAACTCCCCATCCCCCATCTCCACTTCCGCTAGCCCTACCCACCAGATCCCCAGTCTCACTCCCCTGCTATGCCTCTGTTTTTTCCTCAGACCCCTCTTCGACATTGAGGACAGCGGATCCGGCACTGGCAGCCCCAAATCGGAACCATGGTCCATCAAGGTTTGGCGGATTTGGCACCAACGGCTCCAAAAAGGAGTCGTCGCCCATGGTGGACTGTGGATCCGGCACCGGCGTCCTTAAATATGAGACGTCGTCCATCGAGGACGACACTCCATCGAGGAAGACTAGTCCAGTGTAGGTGCGGTAGCAACGACAAAGAAGAAATAGAAGAGCAAAGAGAGTTGCGGCAGAGTGGAGAGTGATTGGCGATTGACAGTGGCGGAACTAGGGGGTGCGAGCCGGTGCTGCCGCCCCCCGTTCGCCGGAGGTTTTAGTGTATATATATGTATATGAATATGTCCAGCCCCGTCTTGACAGTAGTTATAAATTTTAACTGACCCGTATCTCATCAAACAATTCAAGTAGCACTGATGGTTGGAGTGCTTCTATCAACTGCAGGAGACGCGGGTTCGAATCCCGCTTTTTTTCATTTTTGGTGCTAATTTTTGTGATGTTGTACTACGTTCTCCGTATTAGTTTTATTAATATTTTTCCTACCACTTGAATTACTTTTATGATAAATTTTTATTTTTTCAATTCAAACCATTTAGTTTTTACTTTTTTCGAATATTGACATGTTATATTTACGTTTTCTTTTGAATACATTAATGGTAAAAATGACTTTTAACTATTTCTTCCCTTTTCAAACATTGACCTATATTTTGTCAAAAAAAAAGACATTGACCTATATCATTTTATAAGGACTCTATCAAGAAAGTTTTCAAAACGAATCAAATTTTAACATGATTATTTATTTATTTATTTATTTATTCATTGGTTCAGTACAAATATGCCAAATTTCTTGTTGATTTTTGGAATATTTGACTTTATATGAGTATAATTAGATTTATGTAATTACATTTACATAAAAAAAATCCTTTAAAAAATAAATAACGTAGTAATGTTGATTTGAAAATAGAAAAATATAATAAAATTACTATTATTTTAATAAGTTAGTAACTTATATATGTATTATTAATTTATCTTCCTCTAAATGTTTAGCTATAGTCTCTGTTCTAAAAATCGTTCTAGGCGTCCGACTAGTCCCCGCCTAGGCACTAGGCGGTGGTCGGGCGCCCCGATTTTCGTCTAGGCGCTCCGACTAATTGGTTTGCCGTCTAGGTGAATTAGCCGACCGCCTATGGCGCCTAGTTGCCTGCCCAGAGCGCCTAATCAGCCGCCTAGACCGTCTAAATTCGCCGAACATTACTTTACTTTTAAATTTTAATTTCCTAAATTCGCGATATACGTACTTTAACTTTAGCCATGAATATAAAGAAATGAAGTTTTAAATTAAGAAATGAATATTCGAGATTTAATGAGCCATGCTTACACATGCATGGCTTAAAACTATATATGTTTGTATATATACCTAAATTTTATCATTAATTATATTTATACCATAATTAAGTTAAGTGATTAGTTATCATATACTGCGTATGATTAAATGTGAGAATTCTATCTTTCATGTTTGTTAATGTAAATGTATATGTATTTTATACACACAAAAATACAATATTACTTATCATATTTATGCAAATATATAGATAAAAAATCAATTTATATGTCTCCAACTAGTCCCCGCCTAGGCGCCCGCCTAGGCGCTAGGCGCTGGGCTGGCGCCCGACTAGCGCCTAGTGCCTTTTAGAACATTGGCTATAGTTCTATTTAACCCTTGTTATTCTAAAATAAAAGGACAAACGTATTAAATCGAAATAAACTCGTTTGATAAACGAAGTCTATTATTTTGTTTAGGCACTAACAAAATAAGTATAAAAATGAATAAATGTCTATATTTAAGTTGATATGTATGTGTCTGCTTGTGTGTTAATTATATATAGGTCCATATGAAGTATCACTTCGCGCAAATGGGAATAACTCTTTCTGCATTGGATTTGAGATCAAATTACTGTAAATATACTCACCCAAAAAACGGTACAAATTATAGGATTTGTCCAACCAACGGTTCGACTTTTTTTTTCGCCCCCTTCAAATTTTGTTTTGGTTCCGCCACTGACGATTGAGAATAGGTCTGATGTGCGTCCTCTTCTCCAATCGATTGCTACGTACAATTGTTCGAGGAAGAAAGACAACGATGAGGCGATGGTTCGAGGAAAACAAAAGTGGCTGAAAGTTCACGCTAACGTTGCTGATGAAGGTGAGTAAGAGTTAAGTCATATCCTCTTTAATTTAGATTTAAATAATTCAACTGCATCGTTCTGATTGGTCCATGTGGACAAATGTATGATACCTTATGAGTACCATAGAATCTAGCTAATATTTTTTTTCTATTACTTCTAACTATAGCTGACAGATCGAATAACTTTAATCGATAGATCAGGTAAATGTAACTAATGAGGTAACAATAATTCATTTGGTTATTGTAATTGGTCACTGTACTATATGTATTAGTTGGGCCTAACAAGCGTATACTATACTCATATCCATTTTTAGTCTCATATCCAATTGTTATTTTTTTAGTTATATTTTTGTGTGATTCTATTAGCGATGTGCGCCGATGTCTATAAGCCGCCCATTATTTAGTGTGCACTACTCCCCCGCCCCCCTTATATTGTCTACTTTTCAGGAAGTTGCACTAATATTATCTCATACTATATTATGTAAAGTTTGTATGACTCTAAATCATTCTTACTTTATTCTTACTTTATCAATTAATATCAAGCAAACAAAGTCACTTTTCCTAATAATCGTGTCACCCTCCTCCGTAGCAACATAAAAGGGACGGATGTAGTATATTGAGCGGAGCTAGATTTTTTTTGAAAGGAGAGTAGCTAGAATTTAGAAACCACTGAATAAACTCAAATCATAAACATTAAACATTAAGAATATAGAGTTCTGGTCACAAAAAAGAGTAAAGTTAATGTTTGCAGAGGACTACGACTCATAAATATTTTGATGAAGAACATTATATGACAGTTGTCACAAAGATCATATGTGCTAGTAATATTAGGCTTTGTTTGCAACCACTTAAGAAAAGTGATTTTGTTTTTTTTAAGAAAAAAACACTTATTTTATCAAACACTACCAACTTTTACTTTCTCGGCTTCTGTGTAGAATCTACTTTTTACTTTTTCTATTACACAAAAAGCACTTATTTTACCAAACACTACCAACTTTTACTACTAATCACTTTTTATCAAAAAGTGCTTTTATTTAAGCATAAGTGGTTGCAAACAAAGCCTGAGTACCATATAGGACTATGACATGCTCTGAGGAGATCAAGTCGTCCCCGGATGACATTATTACCAAACCAGAATGAGTTAAGAGATCTGTGGGACTAGCACATAACACTCAACTTCTGCCTCCTCAGGTATGGAAGATGTGCCCGAGAAGAACGGAACACAGTTTAGGTTGAAGACGATGTTGATGTTGCAACTCGCCTCCATACTAACCTGCACAATTTTTAAAAAAGATAACGCATAAAATTAACAAGTTAAAAGATCTTCTTTTAACACCAAATTTACCAAGCAAAAAAAGGCAAGATGTAAATTACCCTTGGGGATAAAGGACCAGTGGAGATTTCAGAATAACCTATACAAATTAATCAAGTTATATATCAATACAACAAATTTGAATTATTTCAATCCATCAATTTGAATAATTAACTAAATATTATCACTAACCATTATTATTGCCATTTACAAGTGATGGGTCATGAGCATATACTAAACTCTCTCCACTCACTAAAAAGGATCGGAGTAGAAAAGTGTCTTAAGAACGTGAGATATATATGAAGTATATGTGATAAGTAAGCATACAAATACTATCGTATACAATAAGAAGAAGAATTAGAAAGCATAAGATATATGCTTACTCTCTTTTCTCATGGCTATGGATGTGATCAATGAGATGACTAAAAGCATCCTATCCGTGGGACTAGTACATAAGCACTCAACTTCTGTTTTTACTGCCATTTCAACTCCAGAGCAACATGCCACCTCTGGAATGGTAAATATCCCCGAGAAGAACTGAACGCCGCAGTCAAGTAGAAGGTTGAAGAGGATGTGGACGTTGCAACTCCCCTCCATACTAACCTGGAGATACAATTTTAAAAGATACCCATAATTAAAAGACTTTCTTTTTAACACCATATCTTGATTACATGACTCAGAACTACACCGTAACAAATTTACAAAGCAAACATAAGAATATATATACATATAAATTTACCCTCAGGGTGAAATTTGGAGTAGTGTGATGGCTACGACGAAGAAGATATGGATGGGATGAATGATATCAATAGAAAGGGACCGGTGAAGGCTTGAAGGAAATTAAGGTGAAGTACACATCTAAGTGGAGCTAGTGAAGAGTAGAAAAAAAATGGAAGGGTAGACCGAACATGGAAGGGTGAACCTGTTTTTTTTTTTTTAGTGAAGAGTAGACTGAACATGGAAGGGTGTTATATATAGGATGGCTACGACGTACAACTCTATCTACCCAATTAAATGGACCTCTACAAACTTGATTTACTTTTAACCTTTTACATTTACCCACCCATGTGAGTCATGTGACCAAGTGCTTTTCCCATTATCCCATATACGGCCGTATGCCCGTATGTTCCCATACCATTCGATATCATCATCTAAATAAAGGGGGTCATGCATGGTCTGGTCATAGAAGTGGGTGCTCATAGACATATTTTGAAATGAAATTTGGTGGTCTGGTCTCGTTTAATCTGGTCTAATCAGGTAAATGTCTGATTTCAATGTAATTTATAATTATGAAAGTTTGATTTAGTCTGATTTGATCTGGTTTGAGAATGAAAACAGTTCAAAAGAAAACATCCTTAGATCCAGACCCGACCTATATACACCTTTTTTTATAAGGCGCCAGATATGGGTCGTCTATATTTTATTTTGTTTATCCCCGAATTGGGACTCTATATTTTTTGCATGTGTGGTACACTTTCTTATGTAGGCAAATTTAAAACAATGCCACATGGACATTAAATCCATATATATTTTAATTATTTTTCATGTGGTACAATATTATTGCCCCCTATGGTACAATCAAATTAAGGGGTGCACCATAGAACTATCCCTTTTTTTTTTATTATAAAAGGGTCAAATACGGTACATCTAATTCCGACTCATTAAGGATTTGTACTCTAGAAATTTCAGTTACGTCTACTATTCTTACACATAAACATGCATCTAGTGAGTAGCTAGTTTATACACACATGAGTCTTGACATATGTTTTGTTATTCAAAAAGAACATGTTGGTGTATCTTTTTAGTTTTATTTAATTTTAACGAGAAATGCAATCGATTTTTTTATCATCAAATTCAACAAATATATTAAATCAAAATAATGTTCGTCTCATAACTGATAAGAGCATCTCCAATGATAAAATGTGCACGGTGCACACGTGGCATGAGAAATGACCACATAAATATTAGTAAATAAATTCTTTCTCTCCTTATTTGAATGATTTTATACAGTTTTGGTAAGTTTTCCTCCACAATGTCAAGGAGACCGTCTAGATGTTGACATTGTTGTTGACATTGCAGGGAAAAACTTACCAAAATTGTATAAAATCATTCAAAAAAGGAGAGAGATAATTTATATGCTAATATTTATGTGGCGATCACTCATGCCACATGTGCACCGTGCACATTATAGCATTGGAGATGCTCTAATACAATCAAAGAAAAAGAAATAAACAAAACGATAAAAAGCCTTATGTCTGTCGTCCACCCTCGAACCAGACTTAGAATACAACACCTCTGTATAAGCAATAATATTCGTTGATCCTGTAATGGGCTTAACTGAGCCAATGACTAGCACACCAGACTTCTCATCACCTGACTTAAAATCTAGAATCTCTCTGCTAGGATATAAGAATACGTCCAAAACAACATGCAATTCGAAAGAAAAACACAAACAGAATAAAACAGAATTAAAACAAAGTTCACCCATCTTCTTCCAAACCTTAGACTTGCTTGCACTCCATGGCGGCGGCTCAAGAGGGGGATGCGCCCGCCGCTCATCCACCTCAATAGTCATGCTTTCGTATTGAATGACGATATCCTCCATTGACATCATTTGCTGCTAAATCGAAATCATATTCCGCCATAGTTTATCCACCTTTTCTTTGTCAACACTCGACCTTCGACTAGAAACAACAGCAGAAGTCGAGCCCTGACCACCAAAGCGTTGCATTCCTGGTCCCGAGCCTACTTGCACGATCGAAATCGACTAATGACCGGTCTTCGTCGATGACAAAATCGGAAGAAACGAAGCTCTAACTCGTAGGGAGATGACCGCTAGAGAGAAGACTCTCCAATTCCAACAATTGGTCGGAAAAACCCAGTCTCGCTCCTCGGCAACGGCCGATAGCGTACGAATCCAAGCTAGTGATTACCTTGCGGCAACCCTAGAGAGAGAGGACGAAGACTATTAGCCTTCTTTTTGTTTTTAAAACCCGATTTTTTTAATGCAATGGATTTTATTAACTTACTTGAATTTATTTTGTCAAAATTGTGTCACTATTATAGTATTATTATGTCTCAAACTCTTAATTTTAATTTGAACAATTAGTACGGAGTAGTTTAGTACACGAACTACAAGATTTTCTCTTCAAATAGGTCGCCATTTTGTGAGAGCGCATGAAACTATCCCCAAAATAAACGTCATTGGTTACCAACTACTTTTTCCTTTTATGGCCATTACCTACTAACCTACAAATGTATCTAGAAACCCTCTTTTTCTTCGTAAGTCTCTAAACTTTACCTAGCTGTGAATCCCTGTGATCTCCCATACACGTACTGCCATTAAAGTACTGTTCTCTCCTCTATTTAATTACTACGTACTTCGTAGCATTTAACCAGCCATGTGCATCCCATCAGTTCCCATGTACGGCCATCTATACCATTTGAAGATCTAAGTCTAAAGAGGCTCATTGGGGTGGTGCTTCCTTTTCCATCCGGATGATTAACGTGATTGATCTTTAACATAAATTGGGACAAACTTGAGCACGTACTGTTGGGCCGCAAATTTACCAAATGAGGAAAGGTGGATTACATGTCAGCAAACTAAAGACCAAGTCTACCATTCTACACGTACAAATGGCTAAGGATAGAATTGTTTAACTGACTACCTATTTCCATGGAAGTGGAGCCAAAGTGCCGGTCAAAGCAGTTAGACGTGAGCAACAAAAGTGGCGCACGAGGCTAGACTTGCGGGAAGGGAGAGCTCCATCCCTTTAAATAGATTAGATAGCAAGCAGTGTAATTCATTCACAATCAGGAGAGACCCACTATCACATACATTCAAATTCTTATTCGAAACCCATTGTTCAATCTATTCAATATATTCATTTAATTCATACTTCTCTATTAATCCATAGCCGATTCTTTTTGCTTGATTCACTCTTCATTAAATAGTTTTTGATTAGTTAATTTCTAGTCAAAACAGTTGGCGCCGTCTGTGGGAAAATCTTGCAAAAGAAGAATCGATCATGGCCGGAAGTTCTAATTCTTTGGTGACAGAAATTCAAGCACAGCTAGAAGCTCTCAGGGAAGAAATACGCATGGCCGTAAATTCTAATCATTCGGCGGCGGAGATTCAAGCGCAACTAGAAGCTGTCAGGGAAGAAATGCGGCAGCGGATCACCCTCCTCCAACGAGAAAACGATGCTCTACGATCTCAAGTACAATCGGTGACATCCATAGTATCCAATTCACGACGGGGAAATGATATCATGACCGTGGCAACAAGATTGGACATGGATTCAGTTCCGGTTTCAACCCCAACCATGAGCATCCCGATGCACTTCTTCCCGGATTCATTGCGAACCAGAACAGTGACGTCACGTTTGCATACAATCAACCAACAGATGCCAACTTCGACCATCACGTCGGCTCCTAAGAATCCTTTCGTCCCTCATTCTGGAGCCGGCACGCCTGGAAAAGCAGGGCCCTCGACTCGTTCCTTTCCATTCCCAAATCCTAGAAGGGACATATTCTGTAATCTGTTCGAAGCGCCCCAGAGACGACGTGTTCCAAATCATGTCGACATCCCCAGACATGTCGACATCAACAACCAGAGGCGGCAAGAGCCAGAGATCATCGATATACCATCGCCAACCGAACGAGGAGCAGCTCAAATGACAACACCACCCGAAGTACCAGTTCCGCAGATGCAGACATACTTGACAGACTCTTTGGCCATCCTCACAGAGGAGATGAGAGAGATGCGGGAGAAAATCAACGGCATACCTGGAGTCCCGCCACCGCTAGATGTTGCCTCACAAGCGTGCTATGCGGACTCGCCTTTCGGACGACATATCACTGATGTCGAGCTTCCGAGGAAATTCGCCGCCCCCTCGATGAGACCGTTCGATGGGACTTCTGATCCGGCGGAACATGTCGCTCAGTACAAGCAGCAAATGTTAGTCACCTCAGTCAGACTAGATCAGCGAGAAGCTTGCATGTGCAGGGCATTTGGGACGACATTGTCAGGACCGGCATTGACGTGGTTCGTCAACCTTCCAAATGAAGGCATCAATTCATTTGCGGAGCTGGTCAATTTATTCAATCGACAGTTTGCGAGGAGTCGAGCCTTGGAGAAGCAGAGCAGTGATCTTTATCGGGTGGTCCAGAGGCGAAATGAATCCTTGCGAGATTACTTGCATCGCTTCAAAAAGGAGAAGGTGTCAATCCCTAGGTGTTATGTGCCGACGACAATTGAAGCATTCAGACAAGGACTGCTGGAGGATTCAGAGTTATATCGGGAGTTGACGAAATACCCTAGTCGGTCCTTCGAAGATGTCCAAGCAAAGACACTAGCTTTCATCTGTCTAGAAGAAGACTTACGAGCCCGTCGCGGACATATTGAGCACGAAGGGGGGCACGGGAAATCGGAATCCCCGAGGATGCACGACTACAAGCATGGAAGACCTTATTCAAGACCAGACGAACGAGTTGTCACTTCTATGACGAGGTAGATTTGAAGACATGATTGAAGTCGTCGGACAAGGGGCATATCGACTGCAATCTGTCGACGGTAAGCAAGTACCGAGAAGCTGGAATGCGGTACACTTAAAACCCTTTCATTTCTGATTAAATTAGTATAGTCGATATACCTTTCTTTTACTTCCATTACTAACTTGAGCGTGGGAGGGCCGTTGGCCCCAAGCCAACGGCCAAACTAATCAGTGAACAGGTACTGACCGACGATTTCAAGCTGATCGAGCATGAAGGTAAAGTAAACAACCATGTCGTCACTAAGGATCAATCCAGCAACTGAACTCCCATCAATCCGTTAGCTCTCTACCACACTTTAAGCAAACTATCTTAAAGTCTTTTTTTAGTTTTTATCATAAACATTGCTACAAGTCTCGCTGATGCTTTCAAACGTATTTGTATAAGTTAAATAAGGC